AACTATGAAATCAAAAATTTGATTGGTGGTTCTTCACTTCCTTTAGTTTGATTCTTTAAGATTTATATGTTTCCAAAAATTTTCATTATCTTGCGTAAAAAGATGTAGTGGAAATCGAGCTGGTCCAATCCGTGTAGACCTTTTTTTGTGCCTCTCCGCACCTAATCTCTTTGTCTTTGGTCCATTTCAGCTATCTTTTTTTTTACCCCACACAAAAATATTAAACCATATTACAAACTACTTACTATTTCTGGTCTTTCATTGACAATATCTAAATTAACCCTCTTTGGCTTATATAGTTTCATTGTACAAGCTTCACTCTTGGATGAAACTGAGTGGTGAGAAGAGGCATTTGAAGCTCGGCGGCCGGAGGAGGATCGGTGAATATATTCCGGCGAGAATCAGAGGGTCCCACACTAGACAAGGTTTACCTCCCTAAAAAGCATACAAGTGGAAGAAGCATAGGATAAAAATTAGTACATGAAGTTGGGTTTCAAGAAGGATATTTGAGAATGTGCTTTGTGAGGCATCATCAGTAGAAGCAAGCAAGCCAGTCAAATATATTCTTCTTCTTTTTTTTTTTTCTTTCTTTGCCTTTTCTTTGGTCACTATAAAACAAATCTCAGCTTCCTCTCTTGGCCTACACTCACAAAACAAACACTCTCTTCTTCATTTCTTCTTTTGAGTTTACGGACTTAAAAAAAGAGAAGAAGCTATGGTGAAGTTCACAAAGCAATTCGAAGGGCAGCTCGTTCCAGAATGGAAAGACGCCTTCGTCGATTACTCACAGCTGAAGAAAGACCTCAAGAAAATCCATGTGTTGAACAATGGAGTTGAGAAGAAGCACTCAGAAACTTCTCTCATTAAAACCATTAAGTCCTCTTTAGGAAAGCTTTCGCTTTTCGGTAACAAGGAGCGTGAACGATCTCGTGCCATCCATGTACTAATACTATAACCTTTGCGACTTATTGTTTATCAACTCATCGTGGGGGTGTTTGTAGTAATGACTTTGATGCTTTTTGAACAGGTTCATAAGAAACTTGCTTCTTCTGGAAGTAACAATGACGTGTATGAGACGGAACTTCTGGAGAAGATTGCTGATGATACTGATGCTGCAAAAGAGTTCTTCGCTTGTCTAGACACGCAGCTTAACAAAGTGAATCAGTTCTACAAGACAAAGGAGAAAGAGTTCTTGGAGAGAGGGGAGTGTCTGAAGAAGCAAATGGAGATACTCATTGAGCTCAAAGATGCTTTCAAACAAAAACATGCTAATGGAGAGTCTACTCAAGAATCAAAAGAAGACGATTCCATATCATGCACCATCTCTTGCGGTAACAATAATAAAAGGCCCTGGTTAGCTATATGGTTTCTAACAATTGGTTTAACTAATTTCCCCTGTTTTCGGATGCAGAGGAAGACTCTGTTAAGAACAGAACAGAGCAAATGCAAGTTGATGAATCTTGCTTAGAGGGTTTGGAGGATAATGGAGCAGATGCATTGGAGTCTCCGAGATCAGAAGAACCGATCAAAACCATCAACGAGGACTCGAAGCTGACAACGGTTACTGGTCGGGTTTTCAGCTGTCAGGGGAAGAATGTTAAGATAAAGATACCACTTACCAATCCTTCTCGTACATTCTCAGCTATCAGTTACTTGATAAACCAATCTTCATCGAAAAAATACGGTCAAGATGGAGGAAATAAGCTACAAATCAGCAAGAAAAAGCTAAGCCACGCAGAGAAGATGATAAAAGGAGCTTTGACAGAACTCTTCAAAGGGTTGAATTATCTCAAAACTTACAGAAACTTGAACATGTTAGCCTTCATGAACATTCTCAAAAAGTTCGATAAGGTAAGCCTTGAATCAGAGCAATTCAACATGATTCTTTCAACTTTCTTTTTAAAATTTAAGACCAAACCCTCTTATGTTTTAGGTAACTGGAAAACAAATCCTTCCAATATATCTCAGAGTTGTGGAAAGTTCTTACTTCAACAGTTCAGAAAAGGTAACTAAAAAAAAATCTACTGTGTCCTAAAGTTAGTGTAAGCGGAGAATCGACACCATACACTCTTGTCTTGTCCACTTTATTTTGGTTTATGGAATATGAAAAAAAGTTACCAAATAGTTTTGTCATTATTGTCTTGGGACATAACAGGTGATAAATCTATCTGATGAAGTTGAGGGATGGTTCATCAAGCACTTCGCTGGAGAAAATCGTAGAAAGGCTATGAAATATCTGAAACCGCACCACCGTAAAGAGTCTCACTCTGTCACCTTCTTCATTGGTGAGATTTTGCTTTTAGCTTTATACTTATGAAAATATTTACCTGTTGATGTTGTGACATTTTTATTAGCACTTGCCAACACAAAATATGTTTTCAGACTAACAAAAAAATAAAAAATAAAAAAGGACTTTGGACCCATCACACACATACACATTAGGATTCCACAATGTAACCTTTATAAATCTTTTGTGTTTTGGGTGGAAGACTAAGAGAGTCACGTTGTGTTATACTCTCTGTTGCATATCATTATCTTGTCTGCTAAAGAATCTTTTGGAGATTGTAATAAAAATCTAATCTTGTTTGATCTTAAAAAAAACTTCAGGTCTTTTCACTGGTTGCTTTGTTGCGCTTCTTGCTGGCTACATCATTGTGGCTCATCTTACTGGAATGTATAGACAACACTCTGAGAACACTTTCTACATGGAAACTGCATATCCTGTACTTAGGCGAGTGATCAAATTAAAATCTTGGTTAAACAGCAGAAGCTATACTAATTTAACCAATAGAAGCTAATGCTAGTTTATCTTGTTTCATATGTTTCTGCAGCATGTTTGGGCTCTTGTTTCTACATTTATTCTTATACGGTTGCAACATATTTTTCTGGCGAAAAGCGAGGATAAATTATAGTTTCATCTTCGAACTTGGTTCCCAAAATGAGCTCAAGTACAGAGATGTTTTCTTGATATGTACTGCTTCAATGTCGGCAATAGCCGGGGTCATGTTTGTTCATCTATCACTTCTTGCAAAAGGTCACTCCTTTAGACAAGTTCAAGTGATCCCTGGCCTTCTATTACTGGTATTTAACAAACATTAGTCACTCTTCATCATGTGTTGTTTTTTTTCGTTTGTAAATTTGTAACCTAACTCTGTTTAAATTGTTTTTTGCAGGCCTTCTTGTTAATACTGATTTGTCCCTTGAACATTTTCTATAAATCGAGCCGTTACCGGCTTATAACGGTCATTAGAAACATAGTTTTTTCACCTCTTTACAAAGTCATGATGCTCGATTTCTTCATGGCTGATCAACTTTGTAGCCAGGTAATAACTTAAATCACATTTCAATAGACCAAAACAGAGTTATGAAAAATATGGTCTTTACAATGGATTTAATCTTGTATCTTGCAGGTACCAATGTTAAGGAACCTAGAATACATCGCCTGCTACTATATTACTGGTAGCTACGCAACGCAGGACTATGGATATTGTATGAGAGTCAAATACTACAGAGATCTCGCTTATGCAGTTTCCTTCCTACCATACTACTGGAGAGCAATGCAGGTATATTATACTAAAAATCATTCCTTCTTACACAAGTTTCTATTTCTTTTCTCCCAAGTTAGGAGAAAATACTGATGATAGGATTCTGAAACAGTGTGCAAGAAGGTGGTTTGATGAAGGTGAAACGAGCCACCTAGTGAACCTAGGGAAGTACGTGTCAGCGATGTTAGCCGCTGGAACCAAAGTAGCTTACGAGAAGGAGAGGAGCATTGGCTGGCTCTGCCTTGTGGTGGCTATGTCAAGTGTAGCTACAGTTTACCAATTGTATTGGGACTTTGTAAAAGATTGGGGTTTACTCCAACACAATTCCAACAACCCTTGGCTTAGGAACCAACTCATGCTTCGCCAAAAATCCATATACTACTTCTCTATGGTACAAATCCAAATCTTTTATCACCCAAATACACACACAAATAATGTTAACAAAAAAAAATGAACGAATTGATTCTCTTCTCTATTTTTCTCATACTTATCTCTCTCATTTCTTTTGTGTAGGTTCTAAATCTTGTTCTGAGGTTGGCATGGCTACAAACAGTTTTGCACTCAAGTTTTGAGCATGTAGACTACAGAGTAACAGGATTGTTCTTGGCAGCTCTTGAAGTCATTAGGAGAGGACAATGGAACTTTTACCGGTAAAACTAATCTCCATTTTTTTTTTTTTTTGGGAATCAGATTCAGGATACATCATATACTGATACTTGTGTGGACAAAAAACAAAACATATGCAGATTGGAGAATGAGCATCTAAATAATGCAGGCAAGTTTCGAGCTGTAAAGACAGTGCCACTTCCTTTCAGAGAAGTCGACGAAGAAGACTGACCTCTGGCTCTGATCTTGTCCATCACCATTGTTAACTTTGTCAGATTTGTAAGAACAATATGAGAAGAAGGGAAAAAGGGAAGGATTTGTTTCTTTCTTGATCAACCATATTTTGTGATCAGTGATCAAGAATCTTCAAGATTATTATTATTATTCTTGTCCAAATGTATTGATGTAACTAAAGAATCTTACTTCCCTTCTTTGATTGTTCTCCCATTTGTTCATCACCAAGAAATTGAAAAAAAAGAAGAAATATTGAGTTATATCTTATTTTTTAAACAAAAAGATGTTAATACAAGAGTCTAGATTACTAAACTAAGAATAATTTTAAAAATTTTGGATTTCAAGATTTTGGTTTTGTTGATAGTCCATTTTATTAATTTGAGTCATTAGTAGACAACTAGACAAAAGACATGCATCTATTTAAAAAAAAAAAAAATACTCAACTAAAACAAAAAAGTTAAAATCGGATAAAACAAAAACTTTATTTACTAATTGAAAAATTTCTAAACTTTATCGCAACCCGAAATTTTATTTGGAAAATGAAACTTCTTCAACAAAATTTCGAAACTTTGAGGATTGTTTATTCATTACACACGTGGCCGGATCTGAGACGGTGAAATCGAGCAAAACAACCTATTCTCTCTTTGTGAATATATATTTTATCCAGATTATGTTAATCATTTCTATAATTACAGGTTTATTCAAATTAAGATCTTTTTACCCATTCTTCTTTAGCTTGAGTTTGCTCCAAGAGTCACAGGCGGTGAGCATGACGAATACTGCCGCCGGTTGGTCACCGGTTTTGGCTCCAATCTATTCTCCGGTAAATAGTAACTCAAAGCCAATCAGTTTCCGGTTCTCTGCTTCTTTCTACAAGCCGCCTCTTCCATTGTTCAACCAGCAAAACCCTGTATCGGCTCTACACAGGTACCAAGCTTTCATGGGTTTGATCTCATTTTGTCTCCCCTTCTCGTAAATCTCAGAAAGGCTCATCCTTTTAAAGCTTCTCCCAGGTCGGGAGCTGCTCGTGTGATAGAGGTAGTAGCACCCAAGCAAAGGAATCGATCGTTCTCTGTTTTTGCGTCTCTCACTGATGATTCTAAGTTAAACCCAGAAGAGGAATCAAATGATTCCGTAGAGGTATCAATCAAATTTGGGTTTTTTTTTTAATCTTGTTCAGTTGTTTGTGCCTATGTATGTCTTTCTCGTTGAAATTTTGGTTCTTGTTTGTTGTTGTTATGCAGGGACAGGTTGCTTCTGTAGATATTAAACTACCGAGAAGACGTTTGCAAGTGGAGTTTACTTGCAATTCATGTGGAGAAAGAACCAAGCGGCTTATCAATCGACATGCCTATGAACGTGGCCTTGTCTTTGTCCAGGTGTGGCTTTGATTTTGCTTCTTTTGATATGATCAATTTGTGCACACCACATGTTTGCTTAATTGTCCAAGAGAGATGCTTTTGGTTGGTTAATTGCTTTTATTATTTCTTTGGCAGTGTGCAGGATGCCTTCAACATCATAAACTGGTTGACAATCTTGGTGCCATTGTTGAGTACGACTTCCGTGAAACCTCCAAGGATTTGAGTACTGATCAAGTTTGATATGCTACATCGAATGTTGAATCAAATTTTTTGTTCCTTTTCTCAGATATGTCTGGTTATGCATGATAAGAAGTAAGCTGTTTTCCTCAAAGAATGTAAAAGAATGTATTATTTTTGAATCAATGTGTCGGTATACATGGGGAAAAATGTAGCTGTTCGGGTCAATAAATTTGTGATAGAAATTTTAGGCTGTTATAGCCAGCAGAAAGAGAATTCCCAGTGCGGTATTGACCAACATTCCTACTCTTCCTTCCAGCTGATTCAAGGCATTTCCTCCATTCTGTAAACCAGAAATTTAAAGAGGGTTATAATCATAGAAGCATGGCGGTGATAGTTAACCTTATCCTCCTCTATATTTTATAAGATTGTTGTTCAGTAAGAAATTGTTACCGTGTCTGGTGATGGTGCTGGAGCTGTGTCCTGGGAATCTGTTAGGACTGGAGGAGATGGAGGACTCGGGGGAGTTGGTGCTGGAGCTGGGGCATGGTGATGCCTTTTGTGTTTGTGCTTTTTCTTGTGCTTTGCAGGAGCCGGTGCTGGAGCTGGTGGTAAACTTATTGGTGTAGGCGCTTGTGCTGGAGGTGAAGAAGCTGGTGTGGGAGGTGGAGAAGCTGGTGCGGGAGGTGGAGATGCTGGTGCAGGAGGTGGTGAAGCTGGTGCGGGTGGGGGAGAAGCTGGAACGGGAGGTGGTGATACTGGGGGTGGTGAGACAGATGGGGCTGAAACGGGTGGGCTTTGGGGTGGTTGTGGAGGCGGGGTTATGGGGCTGCTTACTGGTGCAACTTTTGGAGCCGGTGATGAAATTGGAGTAACTGCTGGCACCGGAGATGCTGGTGGCTTAGTAGCTGAAACGGGTGGAGTAGTAGTAGTTGGAGGCGGAGCAGTGGTGGTTGGAGGTGGAGCAGTGATTGTTGGAGGCGTAGCAGCTGTGGTTGGAGGAACAGCAGCGGTTGTTGGAGGCAGAGTAGTTGTGGAGGTTGTCGGTGATGCGGCAGGTCCTTGTGCACTGACACTATTGGGAGAGATAAGTGCAGAAGCTAAAAGAAGAGACCAAATGATTGAATTTGAATCCATTGTGTTGAGATGGAAGATGCAGGAAACAATTGGTGAAGGTTGTGCATATAAACAACTGTGAAATGTTGAGATTTCTTAAAGTATGAATGAAAAAGTTTGGTGCAACGATGAGTTAGGTGGTTTAAGAGATCCAGTCTTCATCAGAATGCTACGTTGCTTCTAATTTTGTGCCATTAGTACGTTCTTATCATATAACTGTCCCCAATAATAATCAGCATTTTTAATGAAACGTGTTAATCATAAACTATAATGGGACCGATGGTTCCTTCGGACCTAAAACTGGTAAAGAGTCTAGATCACTATCAAGAAAGGTTGGTTTTAACAAAGGTTGAAGCAAAACACGTGTTACAATCAGTGGCACTGCAATGAACCAACATCGTCTTCAAATTTTTAACAAATGACAACGTTTCATGGACAAAAGAATATACAATTTTGAACAGATCAGATGCAAAACTTGTTCTACAGACATAAACATTGAGGCATTGGAGGTAAGCTTCTACAGACAGAAAAAGGGTAAGACTTGATGCATCTTGTTGAGGAGTTTAGAGGCGTGAAGATGATGATGATGATCGGTAGGAGCGGGTGGATCTGAGTTCTTTTCTTTCTTCTTTCTCCGCAGCTGGAAAAACTGTTGCATTGTCTGAGCACATTCTGATTCAAGAACTCCGCGTCGTATTGTCATCTTAGGATGAAATGGATGAACTGGAGGCGCCGGCTTTTCTGAATTCTCTGATCCATTTTCTTCGCCTCCCGGGAACAGCCTGAAACCATAATTTGTTCAATGAATTTGACTCAGCAATGTTCAGAATAACAATTTCGGTTTCAGAAGTTATTATTACCTGATCCAGCTGCCATCTGCTCCGAGAAGCTTATTGGGAGCACCCCACACAAGAGTTTTGACCCTTGCTTGAAGTATTGCTCCCGCACACATTGGGCATGGTTCTAGTGTTACATAGAGTGTTGTATCCTGTTGGAAGAATAAGCAAGTTATAGTCTAAATAGTTTCACTACTGCATCTATCAATCCACATCATCAAACACTAACTATTTGTTGATTATTAGGATCATTTCATTTTAATATCCCCACAAATTAAGCATCAGCACGCCAAACTTAAATCTATTGTTATGCTCATATACTAGTTCTGCTATTGCAATGTAACAAAAATGTATATTTTCCCATGAGGAAGCTGTTCTAGAGGGAGAGAGACGATTACCGCAAGCCTCCATGAACGAAGTACTTTGGAACCCTCTCGAATGCAAATCATTTCTGCATGGGCGGTTGAATCTCGAAGTTCCTCTACTCTGAAACACAAAACTATGGTTAGCTGAATCCAGGAGGAGAATATAAGAGTGAAAAAAGGTTTCACGAAAATTACACTTACAGATTAAAACCCCGAGCAATGATTTTCCCATCATGCACAAGCACAGCCCCGACAGGTACCTCCCATGTATCAGCAGCCTTTTTAGCTTCTACTAACGCTTCCCTCATGAATATTTCATCAACTGTTCGTCTTTCAGATTCTACTCTGTATGCCTCTTCCCACTCCTCAAAACTATCCCTCACAACCTGTTTATTCCTCTGAAGTTTCTTTTGTATGAACGAAGAGTCTGTTGATATGGAACCTGTTTCTTCCTGAGACTTCGCACTTAGAGGTTGTTGTTGTTGTTCCACCTGCTCTCTTAAGCTGTTACTACCAGATACCATGCTGAGACGGGATTCTGAAGGTTCCTTTACAACAGGAGACCTTAGGTTTCGACCAGGAAAAGGCAACTGCTTGTGACCTGCATCCACTTCAGGAATACGAGCCTGGTAGCGTCTTCCTTCTCCCACAGTAACATTTTGATCACTAGTTACCTTGGTGGGACTAGATTCTGATGGTTCCTTGATAGCAGGAGATCTTATCAGGTTTCGACTAGGCAGTTTCATTGGCACCCCTGTTGAAGCAGTCTCGGAAAGACGGAACTCAAAGTTTTTGCCTTCTTCTTCATCCGCACGAACAATTTGATCACCAGATGAGGATGCCACGAGATTCGATGCAGAGCCACCTTCTAATATAGTGGCAGATGGTGAGAATACTAAACCTTCATGCCGTCCAGATCGCTGCTTCAGATTTGTAGCACCAGAAGGTTCAAATTGGCTTCTAGGAGAAGTTTGACCAACCTCCAACTGCTGTAGCGAATGAGCCTCTTGAGGCAAAACTCTATCCCCTTTGTTATCATCACTGCTTCCCTCATGCTCACGTCCAGAGAACCATGTTGCACTGCTAACTGACTCATTGGGAGAACTTTTTCCCGCAGGCTTTGCACTCGAGTCAGAGCTTCCAGCTCGAGAGCCCCACCGAAGCCGAGCAATATCAGCGATAACATTCCACAAGGACTTACCATTTCTTTTGAAAATAGCATTTCCCTCTGCTGCATTTCCTTCCGTGGCTCCTGGTTGAGGAGTTCCCTGAGTAGAATCTGTGACCCACAATTCATCTGATGGTCCCTTTGCTCCTGAACCAGATGATCGCCTTGAGTCCCGCCTCTTCAACTGATTGCTTTCAACTCTTTGCTCCACAGTCTCCGGATATGATACTTCATGCTTGGCCTTTTTCAAAAACTCCCCAACGAACTTCTCTGATGCCTGTTCTAACTGATGCGCAGAACTCAGAGCATCTTCGTGTGTTGTAACTCCCATCGGTTCTACTGCAGATATACTAGTAACAAGAGCTCCTTCTCTTGGTTGTTCAAAGGCTATGGGATAACCACTTTCTGAAGTTCCATGGGAAATTTCTTGAATTGAAACTCCACCAGTTCCATAATTTTTCCCTGAGCCTCTGCTTACCAGCTGAGAAGAAGGAGGAATCAGTGTTGTTTGATGAAATTCTTGGATCTCTGCTGAAACCAAAGTCAAAGATGACTGTGAAGTTGAGGCCTCTTCAGATAGCTTTTCCTGAGAACGTAGATCCACTAAGGCCATTTGATCTTCTTTTGTTGAGTTAGCATGATCAAGCCTAGAGTCTTTCCAAGCACCACTTTTCCTGGTGTTGCTGTCCGATTGCACAATCGTAGTACTTCCTTGACCAATTAACCTCTTCTCAGATTTTCTCTTAATTTCTGTATATCTTACTTCATCACTTGTATGAGATACAGACACAGATGTTCTGTCAGATTGCGTCTTTTCCAAGGGATTATGTTCAATGTGATAATCTTGCTGCTTCCTTTCTGTTTGCAAACCAGAAACCAAGCCAGCATGTACTTCTTGGTTTCCAATCTGGTCTTCGCTTTGCGAGATATATGTATTTCTGATGTCCATGTCATGAATTTCTGAACTCTCAGAAAAGCGTTCAGTTGTCCTTCTCATACCAGCTTGCTTTGATATCCTTTCTTCTACTAGACGTTGCTGATTATTTGTTGCCTCTGGAAATTTTTGGAGCACATTTAAACCTTCCTCCTGAGTCCTACTAGATTTGGTTCTTCTCCGCATTTCCTCACTGCTATAACGAGCCTCTGATCTTTCCTGCAGTATCTGCTGAGAACTCTCAATGTTTTCGCTTCCAGAGTCATTACAAATTGAGTGAACTCTGTAGTCCTCTCTTTCACCAAAGAGTTTTTGGGTTTGGGATTTGGTCTCTGCATCGTTGACATGGATCTCATGAATTTCCATATCTTCTTCATAATTTTCCGTCGATTTAGAAGCTGTATTACTTGTTTGACTAAACTTCTTAGCTCTTCTCTGGTTCAAAATCACTGCCTGATTTGAATTTTCCCCTTCCTCAAAAACCTGCTTGCGATAGTTTGAACCCACTCTATTGGAGCTCTCATCTTTCTTTCTCCTCGAATGCATCTGAGAGGCTTCGTTTCTTTTGCCGGACTGTTCTACAATCTTCTTTTCTGAACTTCTCATGTTTTCCCGATGAATTTCCACATCCTCCTCCTGATCTTCAGTATCACTCTCAAACTCCCCAGAAGAAGCAAGTGAGTAATACGATGAACAACTCGAACTCTTTGCCCTTATTGGTCGAACTTCTCTTTCTTCACTCCTCCTTTTACTTTTCTTAATGGATTCGCCACTGACCAATTTAGAACCACGCCGAGGCTCACTCTCCAGCTGATAACTTTTCTTTCCCCTCCCACAATGTTCACAATCATCTCTTTCATCTAAGTTCACATCTTCCTTAATCCCATTTCGCCTACCAAACCCCTCAGGTCTCTCTACTCTTTCCCGCTGGTTTTTCCGAGTAACCCTCCCATTACCATAACTATCTCTTCCTTCAACTCTAACCTTTCTCACATTTCCCACTTTCCTACTCTCTTCAGCTCTACTGATTAAGTTCCATTTCCTCTCCTCATCTATCAATTCCTCACTTAAAAACGAAATCATAGCCTCTACATCATCCGGACAACTCCTACCATCACAACATTCATCAGATTCTTCCAAACACCTAAGCCTAAAGCTCCGATTTTTCCGTCTTGTGCCATCACAAGAAGCATAAACCTCACAACCCACAAGTCTATTCCCACCAACAAGCAACCTCCTTTGAAACGAAGGCCGCTGAATAAGCGTAGACTGTCTAATCCCATAAAGCACAAATCCAGGGTTTATCGATACCTTAGGCTTAACATATGAATAAGAAGAAGACGAAGAAGATGGTGTTGCACAGCAGCAGCAACGTGATGAGCCAGAACTAGCAGCACAGCAACAGCTTATCGAAGATGCGCATGAAGATTGTAAAAAGTGGTAACTTTCAGATCTCTCAGGGAGCAAAGAGCAGTAATCTTGGTAACTTCGACTTCGAATCGGCCATTGGAGTGAGTATGTGTATGTATTGAACATGTTGATTAATCGAAGAGGTACCTCGTTTTAAGCACAGAAGCAGCTATTGAAAATTCATCTCTAAATGAATGAGAACATCGTTGTGGTTCTTCGATGAGATTTACATCAGAAATGAATATGAAATTGTGTGTAGGATTTGCAGAGGAGGAAGACGACAACTCGACAAGAGCGAGTCCGGTTCGAGATTGAGGATAGAAGCAAACTCTCTCGGGTTCTGATTGGGCCTGTTTTATTTGGGCTTTATCTTTTTTTGTAAACATTTGGGCTTAATCTAACATTAAAGAAAATCAGGTAAGTGTTAGAAGAAACATAATGATTTTTTATTTTATTTTCTTTAGCATTGAGGAATTTCAAAGGTCCCATAAATTTAATTTAATTTTCCTTTTTAAGGACTAGTAGGGCAAGTTGGAAATACACATTTCATTTTCATTACTTTAAATGAAAAGTTAAATTATTGTGAAGAAGACATCCAAACTATAAATTTTCTAGCATAGCTTATGTTGTTGACAAAACAAATATATAACTAATTCTACTCGTTTAAGTTAAAGAGAAACAGTAAAGTATTGCTCTATTGTATTACATATCTTAAAATTTCATGTTACAATTAACAAAAAAAAAGAAAAAATAACTTAGTAGATTGGGTAGTTTTAAAACTTGCCATCGCGCAAATTATGTCATGTAGAAAATAAAGTATTTTTTTCCAGCTATTTCCATATCAAACAAGGTGCTAGTTCATTGAGTAAAAATGAAAAGCATCTATATATATAAAGTTAACTTTTTCTCTCTTCTCCTTATGCCATATCAGCTGCCACATCATCATTCATCTTAATTTTTTACACTGATTTATAATTACAACACTTTTTTATTTTTTTTCTACCTCATAACTTAGCCTTTATTTTATTTTTATATTCAATAGTGATTTTAAGAAAATAAATAATATAGTAAAAAACATTTATGTCCAAAATAAATAAAACAAATATCTATTTATAAAGTAATGATCAATTTTTTGATTAATGGGGCTAAATACAAAACAAGGATATTTATATTATACATATAGATATACCACTAAATTGATGTCATCTAAAACCACATCAAACGAGAACACAAACGATTTTAGACATAAGAAATAGAAAAAAAAAACTAAAAAGTAAAATAAAAACACTTGGATAAATAAATAAGTGGATTCACCAGAATAATTTGGCGTACAAGAATTGAAGGCTTTTGACATGTAAGGTTTTAACAGCTACCATTTGACCTAAATCAAAGTTAAACAAATAACAATAAACATTTCATATACTAAATTAATATAAAAACAAGAATAAAAAAAAAAAAAAATCAAATATAAATTTTAAAATATAAAAAAAACAATTATAAAACTTTCGCGCGTAGCGCAGATCAACAACTAGTATAATATATAGAATCTTTCCCGATACCAAATAATAAACGATACTTGGTACGTAAAATATCTTGTATATTCGTTTACGCCGTTTATTGAGCCAATAGGTGATCATGAATTATCAGTGAATGATATATAATGTTGTATATTGCGACAAAAGTAACCATGTACGTTTGTTAATTCAATGAAGACATACATGATGATTTAAATATAGTATATGGTGATGTCGACGACGATGTGTATGATAGTGTTGTTGTTACGTGACATATGTTGCATGTATTGTATTATTGTATATGGGTAGATAACAATAGTACTTCAGAGAAGTTGTTTAAGAGAGGTAGATCAAGCTAAAGGTAAAGGGGAACAGGTAAGGTTTCGTAGGTGATGGCATGAGTTGGACAGTAGCCTCTTGGTCTCCTCTCTTTGCCTTCCTCTTTCTCATTTCTATGCCAAAGCTTTTTTTCTTCTCTTTTCATTCATTTGTTTTGTTTCTCTTTTCCATTTTTAGTGTTACACTCTTTTATTTTTTCTTTCTTCTTTACCTTTTGTCTTTATTTGCCTTTGTTCGTGTGCGTGTTCGTGTGATGTGGTCCATGTATATAATGTCTTTGCTTTGTTTCATCTTTTTTTTTTTCCTTTTGAAACTTAATTTTCTTTTATATGGGATTAAATTTTTAAAATTCACACAAAAACTGGTTTTTTAAGAGAGTGAAATTGAAATTTCAATTTTGTAAGAAGTTATATATTTCAGAGGATTAAACATATATTTTCTAATAACTATATCAATCAAATAATAGAAAACATTGATCGTAGGTCGTCTCATTTGGTGTTATAGGTTTTTTAAAATTAGGCACCAATAATATTTGGTAGTTTAACCAAACATATATCACTTAGAACACGCTACAAGTCTTTAATGATGGAAATTGGTTTTACAAACTTTGGTTGTAGAAATTAGGGTGATCAATTAGTTGAATATTTCAAAAATAAGATTTTCAAAAAAAACAAAAAATGAGGATTTGGCTGTATAGTGTCTTAATTTCCTCAAATCACTTATGTGTTTGTATTATATATATATTATATATATGTGAAAATATGTTTTGTGTTTATATCATTAAAAAATTTTTTAAACATTTTTTAAGGATATAAACAAAAACGAACATACGCAAAGGAAGACTCTTCGTCCGTTTGTGCTAGTTTGCCTATGCAAACAGTTAAGAAGTTTTGTTTGGAATTACTTAACACATGCTGTTTAATTGGATGAAAAGAAAGAAAGTGGAAGCTACTAAATTTATATCTTTATATTATTTTATAGAGTGAAATTTACGTTAAAAATTACAATAACAAGAAAGCATTTAAATCATTTGGTAATAGTTTTCCATTCATTCAAAATAAAACTAAAAACATACAAAATAAAATTAAAAATTGGGAAGAGCTCCAAAACCAAAAGTATGAATAAAACAGAATTAAAAGAACGAAAAAGATATACACGAGCCAAAAGAAAATAAGACAAGACTAACGATGTATAATTACGTAAAAAGGAAGAAGAAAAATGTAAAAGCTGTGCTGACCAAAATGTGTCCTTAGATGATTCGAATGTGATGTGTAAAATAGATCATTGATATGATATTTCATATTTTATGAAGCCAAATCATCTTCCACTAAAATCTGTATGGTATGGTAATTTAAAAGGTTACAAAAGTAGTACAATTATTTGGTCTACAACACTAGTGAAATTCAGTAACATCAATGAATTATTCAATAGTTTATTACTTTCATATGGAAAATATCAGTATCAAATTGACAATTACACAACATACAAGCATTAGGTAAATCAAGTAAAAACATTAAACTAATCTTATTTTATAAGTAGAGAAGAAAATATCAACGCTGCAAAGAAAATGTCAAAGACAGAGAAATCTTAAAACAACGTTGATTAATTAATTTCTCTAATCACATTATTAGTGGAATATTAAATTTGTCTCAATTAAACTAAAGATTCCGTAAACCATGTAGATTCATCGTCAACTTCATAATCTCTTTTACTTTCTGAGAAAAAGTCTCATAAATACGAAACATCCATCACAACTTTAGATTTTATGGATACCAACTTTTTCAAGTACTTTTTTCAAGCACCACATGCACGAAGGAAATATATACCTATAAGCCGTATACAGTATGCTCTAAATCTTCCAATAAATATATGTCTTAATTCACAAATAAATCAAACAAACATGGATCGCTTATTCAAGAATGAGTGAACAATATGTATACAACAAGATCATGAGTTTAGTGAACAATATGTATACAACAAGATCATGAGTTTTTCTAACTATGATATGGCTAAACTCAAATTATATATTTATAGTAACTGAAGTATCGATTAACTGAAAAATTAGGTTCGGTTGACATATATTCTTGAAGTTAATAAGGTTGCATTTCAAATTGAAATATTCAATTCCATGTGTTTCATTTGTTTAACATCGTCGCATAAAAATTATATATCACTAACAATGATACATTTCAAATTATGGTCTTTATTATTCGTAAGAATCTTGAAACCAAAAAAATTAAAATGAAAAAGAGGTTATGGTCTTATAAGCTTATGTCGGCTTCTACCATCTTCGTGGCAAGCTCTCATAATTCATGTCAACGTCGTTTTTATTTTATTTTTCACGTCGACATCATATAATGAATTAATAAGGTGGTCATGCATTATATTTTTAAAAAATACAATACATATATTATACTTAGGAAATTTTAGAAGCTTCCTTTGTTTGTGTTTTTTTTTTTTTAAACGCCGGATACCGATCGACGAGGCGACGACCATCGAAGATGTATGAAGATGAGAAGAGGTTTAAGGAATTAACTAATTTTTATAAACATTTTCATTTTAATCACCAAATCCACAACAATTAGTGAAAGTGCTTTTGGCTTTGCATGGGAATATTCTAAGGCATGTGTGATGTGTTATTCGATTGACAATCTAACTACTAAGTTTTGAAAATTTCGCCCAAAGTCTTGTTTTCTCTAATTTGCTTCTTCCCCATTCCTTGACATTTATTGAGAGTGTGACATCTTTGATGATGCCTTTGCACAAATTAATTCATATCATACTACAAATTTTAAAAATATAAAAAATCAACAGTTTATTGTGGACTGAGTTTTGTCAATGATAACAACAACCAACGGACTAATTTAAGTATATAACTCCATTTTCTTACTTTGGCTATTGAACCCGATAGAGGAATAGATGAAAACTGTTTCGTGCTACTTGGTCACAAACATAGTCACAACGACGAATAATTTACACTATAAGGTAAAAGATTACTAATACACCAAAACAGAATGGTGTCATATATGGATAAAGTGACATATGCAATGGGTTATGTTATGTTGTCATGGTGGTTATGATAAATGAATAAGAATTAATAATGATATCCAGATTATTATTTATAAAAGAAAAAAAAAATCCAAGTTTAGATATTTTGAGAAAACCCCAAAAAACTTATTAGGTATAGGAATCATATAAATTTAAAAATCTAATGACTCAACTTTTTTTAAACGACTACCAAAATTCTGGATAAGCCTTGCAATTAAAATTTACTAAATATATGTCATATTAAGATAAAAATACGAGTAGACCACCAAAGATGTAGATAAGTCAAGCAAATAAAACACTGCAAAATTGTATTTATTTCTTCATATGGCCTTATAATAAAACTGGGTATGACATATAAGTATTACAATTTTCAGGACTAATATATTTGGCTATCAGTAAAAAAAATGATTGAGTTATATAATTAATGACCAGA